GTCGTTAGGGCCGGTTTTTCCAATCACCGCGTCACACTTCTCAGCGTCTACTCTGAAATACGTAGTAAAACTGCCCATCAGTATCAGGGACTCTGTATTCGGCACTTTTAACAGAGCACACTGCACTTCCTTAAGGAAGGAATCATTCACTCTCTAAACTGGGCTCATAGAGCTGTAACAAAGTCATCGCTTTAGCCTGTTCTAGCTTCAGTCGGAGGATTACCACTTTTCCGCTGACAGGCTTCCAATCGATTATTCTATCGGCAAGGTTGGGTTCTACCAGAACACCAACACCGGCCTGAGCGCGAGTCGTGATATCGACGCCTGAGTATAACAGCTTCCATCCACTAAGGTTCAGGAATCCAAAGCCATGGCGTTTCGTTGACGAGAGTCCAACAATGTCGAGTTGGTACTTTATGGCCCCATCAACTAACTCTTGTTCTTTTCCTCTGAGTCAGGATATGTTCCAATTTTCGACTTTTAGCTCCCACTAGTGGTGTCGTTCTCGTGGGCCCTTTTCTGACGTGCGTGGCATCGCGCTGTCTGCCTTCTCCATTCAGAAAGGGCATCGACTCCGTTGCTGGCTGGTATCTTCGTCGTCGTTCCGTCGATCTTCGTCAGCCGTTGTTATGTTGCGACGCCCTCGGCTGGCAAAGGGCGGTGAGCAGGTTAAGATCGCCGACTCGCATTCTGCCTCATTCTCCAATAGCCTACCCGGCCATTGGTAACCCGGGAGACCACCGAGCCGGTATAATTTTCGATGACTTCAACACTATGAAGAGCAGATGGCGAAATTTTAGGAAGACTTCGCCACAGTCTCCAACCCTCCTCCTTTCTGAACCGGGCTTGGTACCGGCAGCGGCGATGTGAATTTTGAAAATTAGAAACAAATCATACTGACTGAAAATAGTACAAGATCTCTTTATGCGAAGATGACTGTGTTTTGAAAAGTTAGAGACATGAGAATAACGTATAAAATCTTTTAAACATTCGGTAGAAAATACTGACGTTTTATATCCATCTCCGTTCGTTTCAGAGTAGCAATGAGTTTCATACGGCGTCAGGAAAACTGAAGAAAAAAGAAACCTCATAAGGTGGAAGAATGCTGATGTCACAGGTAAAGGTTTCATGCAAGTAGACAGAGGAAGCAGAGAAACAAAGGATCCCAAGGTTATCAGAGCAGAATTGGAAAAAATTTCGCTGTCGTAAAAATGTCGTCATCCCTAAGCAAACGTATCTTTGGAGAAGACGAAAGACGTCGCACCAGAAAAACATCTTACCCGTACAATCAAGGAAACGCTACAGCTTCATCAACCGCGAACTTAGCACTGATGAACCAAAAACGTCAAGAGGTGCTTAGGACCAACATGAATACCATGTTGTGAAAATTCATTGCAATTCGAAAGTTGGACCGAAATGGGTAAGAAGCGTCAGTAGTTTCTGAGAGTCTATAAAATTGAAGATCTGATGCGCTGTTCTCCCATCTGTGGCTTTCCGCTTTCCAAAGTACATAATATATAAAATTAAACATTTAGTAAGTAACAGTACATAAATGACATCAATAAATAAATTATTTCCTTAGCCAAATAGATATTTTTCGACAGAAGAACGAAACAAAACATCGCTCTCAGCGCAAACCCTTAGCAAATACTAACAAATAGAATTTCGATATAACGTTCAGGGGTTTTCTGCGTGAACTAGCCCAAACCATTGTGACTTAATCAGAGATGAGTCTAATGTCTATGCCTTTCGGATTCAACCCGATCTTCTTCATTATGGTCCCCTATGGCCATAAATAGAAGACTGAAAACTTCGATCTTGGGCAGAAGCGGCTGAAATGGGCTTTGAAGACGAATCACTGCATTCAAATGTCTCGACATGGCGCGGAATAAAGATATCTGAGAGAACTGCGGTGTACAGCCGCTGATTCTTAAGACTTAGAAGTCAAAGCTGCGAAGTTTTGGACATGTACTGCGAATGCTTTCAGCAAGACAAGCGAAGCAGTTACTACTAGCTCAATCGAACTTCCGAAAATCCCAGGGACTGCAAAGAATGACTTGGGACTAGGGGTAAATGTCTTAAAAAACTATGATCCAGATTCGGGATTGAATCTTCTATCGAAGATCAAACGGTGGAACAAGATCGGGAAATATTTGAGACTTTGCATGACGCGTCCCAGCGACTCGAAAGGATAAATAATCATCAAAAATGAGTGGTCGTAACTCAGACAAAGAAATTTATTGCGTATTTCTGATTCAAATAGCAAAAGAAATCATATACGTTTCCAACGCGTCGGTTAGTCATTATCAAAAATCCGAAACGTAATACTTACTTCAGTTGCATAAAGAATTTCCAAGATTTTGCTAGCCTGAAGCAATTCATCATCCCTGCGCTCCTGACACAGCAACTCGATCTGCCTTAACTTGCTGAAATAAAAATCCCGCTCCTTTTCTGCACTTTCGGTCAGCAACGACGCTTCTTTTATCTAAACGCAGCGAATCATATCACACGTCATAAAATTACAGACAGAATTTTCGGCAGTGGCATGAATGAGCACGATGAAAAGGCTCATTTCCGCTTTCGTAGAATCTGCATTCTAATGTCATGGCTAGATCACTAAATGAGCAGGAAAAGGAAATATAAATATTGCAACCGTTTGGATGCACGCTTTCACGATGAAGACTACTTCTGGCACTCTTACTCCTTTGAGCTTATGGTACGGTACCGAAGCCTGATGCGGCTAACCAATCACGTATTAATAATAGGACAAATATCCGCAGCGATATAGCACCACAGCGTGCAGCCACTCGCTTACCGCCCACAAATATCATCATCAATCGCGTCGTCGGCGTTGGGTCCACTAAGTAAACTTCGGTTCCTATCAACGACGGCGCTAAATGTTTCGTGACAGACATGACTGCTGCAACAAGCATATCGTTTATCGATCTCGTGATCTGGGCATCATCATGAAGGCACTAGGGCATTCATGCTAATGTTTCCGCCACTTCGAGAGCACTGTTAGCAGCAAACTCATCTGGTACCTCGCCATATAGTTAATCAGACCTGCTCTATGGGGACGGATTATGACGGTGATGGCTGGAAACCTCATTGGGGATAAAGCCAGGTAGCCTGACGTCGAAGAGCTGGATCTAACTTCTCATGCAGAATGTGTGGAGGCTGCAGATATTCATCGGCTGCTCCAGATTTTGAATCCGCACAGCAACAACGACGGAACACTGAATGTGCGACAACTAGTGCTAAAAGATCAGATGCTTTGCGTAGGATTCACTGCCGATACAGCGATGAAAATATACCCGTACATAGCGTACTTTACAGGATCGAAGGGTGCATGGACCCAGCTAGGATGGGAACAGTTTTCTTTGTGAATCTGTATGAGTCTGATCTGTGTGCCTAGTTCTACCGATCTAGCTGTCAGAGTTTAAATCTAGGAAACGACACACACGGAGTAGGTCGTTAAGCTAGCAGCGACATGCTATCACAACGTTACCTTTTCGCTAAGCTCGTCGATGCGATTCTGCAGCTGCACCACTTGCGCGTCTTCAGATTGAGAGGTCCCATGTTTCTGGCGGCTTGTAGCAGCGGCAGGAGCAGCGTTCACCGGCCTGTGGAATGGAGCTGAACGAGTAGGCGCATCACCCCCAGGGCCGGAGACCGCCACACGTGTAGGTGGACTTTTGCGCGCTGAAACGTGCGTTCAACAATCAGACAGGTCCATTTCAGAATTTGCACTATAACAGACAGGTCTGCATAATAAACTTCGCCTCAGAAGGGCTAAACAGGCTGATTTTCTTTTCAGCGAGATGACAGCTAGCGATCGAAACAGCAGTGGCCGTTTTCGGGACGAATAACAGGGAGTTCAAGGAATAGTTCACCCTGGCCAAAGGAGAGAGAGATGTAGCTAATACGTGACGGTCAGTTAATTACCTCTGCCAAAGCCAGCAGGCAGTCACAGTGGGTCATTACGTTTCTACATTAGACCGCTTTTAAAGAGGAGGAAGGAATGAAAAAATAAAATGGACAACAAGAACTTCAGAAAGGCATTGTTGATTTAATTTTCGATGTTTGTTGCATGCGCTTCAAAAACAGTTTAGAAAATGAACGATGATCATACTCAAAATACAACAAACTTCAACGCCAAATGGAAACCAGATTACACTGTCAAATAAAGTGTTTAAATTAGTCAAAAATTTAACAAAGTAACCGTGTGTACGATAGGATCCTTGTTTCCCTGACTGAAGAGAAGGAACGGAGCGCGTTGATCCGCGGTTTGCGCTCGGTTTCAAGCCGCTGTCCACCGGCAGTGCCTAAAATAGGATTTCAATAAAGCAATAATATACGATTAAATCACATCATGATTCCTCACCGTAAAATATCTCAAGTTTGTTAATCTAAAGAGGGACTTGAACAGGACTCAAGAAATCAAAACTAAACTGCGGTACTCAACTACACTCAGACGCGTGAATTATTTTGAAACTGCAGATTATTATTTGATGTATTGAAAATGATTACTTTTGATGTGCTCATGGACATGAGAGTTTAGAGTATTAAGTCGGAACGAGGAATTTTCGACGTCAACGTGCTTCAGTTCTAATGAAACGTACAAACAATACGCAGGGGGATTCGGATAGTGTCTGCAAAATAATTATGTAAACTGCAAACGTATTCCGCTGAGGCAACAATGGGGCTGAGGAGCGCCGGTCTTTTGTGGAAGCAGCTACGTACAGCCTGTACCAGCCACAGTCACAGCTACTCCAGAACGATGTTCTTATTTCGTTTCCGTTGTGAAGGCAGATAACTTGAAGCAAGCTCAGGTAACTGCTGTGCTCTTCGATCAGTTTGTAGCTGTAGCTACAGGCGATGAAACGCGTTGTGCAAAGAAAAAGGATGTGATTTTTTAACCAGCGATCCTTATACAACGGTCTTTATACCTGCACTCTTTCCTCCAGGAAGTAATTATCGTTAACAATAACAGGAGTGGCAGATAGCAGGACACTCACTGTGCCCTCAGATACAATTTCCATGAACCGCCAGCCAATGCGAAAGCGCAAGTGAAAACAAATTTGGTAGCCTGATCCTCTGCACATAAAGCTGCGGCATTATCTTGTACAAAACTGCTAGCTTCGTTCTTATCGCTTTTGTAATTTAATTTTTAAACATGTCTCACCGAGAATGTTTAGGTAAATGGAACGGAATTTGAATATTTATAGGTACGAAAATCACTCATAACTGAAACATGAAATTCCCCAAAAAATTTTTACCAGAAGTAATACGACACCATGATACCATCAACACCACTGAAGAAAAACAACAGAGAAAATGAACAGATGGCAATCATGAACTGCATTTCAACTGACATCTGTAATCACTTTACTTCTCGAGCAGCAGAGAAACCCTAGCCGTATTTACAATGCATCTCGTAAGCGTCACTTCTCTGAATTTATATGGCATTGTCCCAGCATACCTTTACTTTTAGCTGCCTAGTCAACCTTTAACGTAGTTAACCGTTTCATGTTATTACAGCATATGCAGTTAATGAATGTAAACAAATCTGAAGAAGTGACATTTAATTGCCATTCTCACCGGTGGTAACAAAAATTGGCATTTTCTTAGCAAATCAACAATACCGAGGTTGCTGTAACAATATTTACTTTGTGCATATTATTGAAACTTAAAATTTAAACGAATTTTAAACTGGTGAAGAGAGCAGCACTGAAGCCCGTGCTTACTAATGGGGTGAATACAACACACGGAATCCTGCATTCGTTCAAGCGACGTCAGGGTAGGCCAGCTGAAAGAACGTCAGGCTAGTATCGATTCTGAAACCCTTGCCATTCATATTTGCGAGATGAGTAAACGAAAATCACGGCCTATAGAAAAAAGATAGAAATTATTCAGATTGGCGACCACCTCGTTGCAGGTGTTGCTTTCAAGGCTAAGATAAGAATACGGTGCTGCTGGTAGATAGCAAAGAGAGAGGTCAACAGCACAGATTCCAACAAAGAGGTCGAAAAATATTGCCCGTAATAAATGCCCAGGGAAACCGAGATCCAAGTATTTACTAACTTTCCTTTCCATTTTCCTTTGATCAAGGTCCTCCTGTGGTCGATGGAACCAACAGTAACGGTAATTCTAAGATGGAGATCTAAAAAGCACAGATAGAAATTCAAGTTATGTGGTGAATCACCAAAATGCACTAGGGTGTCATTAGCCGGTTAAAAAAATTTGTACGAAATATGGAAAAATCGAAAAATGAGCACATATGAAACTTACGACCTCTCAAGCAACCGTAGTCAATGATAGTTTGAAAACATCACTTTTCGAAACTTCACGAAAAAACTTGTGAAATATCTAGTAAGTGCAACGACATAGCCGAGTTATAAGTGAACATTAACTTAAGAAATCTTCAAAATTCACCTAAAAAGGATCAAACAGAGAATGATAATCTACTCAAAACTTTTTTGTGGGAGCCGTCTTGGAAGACAATACAAAATTAGGAAAGATCTCGCCCGGGGTGACAAGACTGCTACAAGTAATACAACCTTTGCCAGAAGCAGCAAACGTTGCATAAAACGAATCTGAGGTATCATTTTAAACGTTCAGTCATCTCTGCTGTCGAATATTTGCAAATCATGAGAGTCTACAACACTGCACGTCGAATAAGTTCAAATGAACATCAAACCATTTGAAATTATTCTCTAGCTTTCTAGGGAAGACAAGCGTCACCCTCATCGAAGACAAAATGACAAATCATAATCAACTCCTCGGTAGTGAAGATTTATCGTAGGCAATATATAACCTGTGAAACAAGCTAGAATCAATAGCAGTATCACTCTAAAAATTACTGCATTTGTTGAGATGAACGATGGGTACGAACAAGCGTAACGCGGCTAAACCAACATCAAAGCAGCGCAAAGATTATGAAAAATAGAGGACAGCAAAAAAAGCTACAGGAAAGCGCGAAGTTCTGCAATGGCAGCTGATGACAATTCGAAAACAAAAAAAAACAGATTCACTCTGACCTCGCCGTTCCTTGCACTGAGAGCGTCATAGGCTTGCCCGTTGTAGTTGGCGTCGAAGAATTTTTTAAACCACTGAAGAAATTCGAAGTTGTCCTGAAATTTACCCTTGATCAACTTTTCGACGGGAACAATCTAGAAATGACACAGATAAAACACCACAGAACCAGGTGCACAAATAAAATCACTCATACCTTATCGACACCTAGCTTATTAAACGCTTCTTGCATGATCTTAAAATTTTGAATATATTCATGTTCCAACTTTGTGTTCCATTTGACCTTCTTTAGCTGAACACTCCCTGAAATAAGAATCAAAGTCAGAAACACACAACTTTGCCAAAAGGCTCATCATAAATATACTCAATGTACGATAAGGAAACGCAACGACCTAACCAATGCGAAACGGGGTTTTTCAAATTGTTATGCGCAGCATAGCCGTACGAACACAGAAATAATGGCTATATGCAGTTCTCGCTGAAAATGTATAGTTATATTTTAATCAAGACTCACAGAAATCATCAGAACTTTAGTAATCTATACTCCCCCCTTTCATCCAGCTATTATTTAATAAAAAATGAAAAATAACACCGGCCATAAGTGAGCTGCTTATAATTATACAGGTTTACTCTTAAATCATTATTTATGAAGATCTTGGCAAAGATTACGAATATATATAATAAAACGCTGAGGTTCCTGTACAAATCTCCGCTAAGGAAAGCTGTTTTCTCAGATCTCTAATCGACATTCAATTTTGTCTTTAGATATTTCCTTCGCCCATGCATGCATTATTCAGATCAGAGCCAACGTCAACTGCGATGGCCAAAAGACTCTACCCTGCCAACAGATAACCTGGGAATCCTAACAGTTTCCATCTCGCCTCAAATACTCTTCAGTGTTTACGGAAGTATACCCTACAAAAGAGGTCAATTATGGCAAGGGCAGGATGGTCATCTCAGAGGTCCGGAACGATAAAGCTTCTGAAAATTTCCTCAGTGAACGGAGACGCCGTGAGCAACAACACATTTAATACGTTCAATTCATCAAATACTTTGGAATGCACACAAACAGGGGTTTGAACTGATTGAATGAAGTGAACTAAACTGCGGAAGGCGCTATATTACTTACTGCCACTCCATAAAACATTGTTCTCCTAGTCGAGATATTGCACGCTTACAACTACCTTATATGCAAGTCTTGCAGTCTACTTCGGACTATCAAAGAAAGAATACAAAGCACTTCGTCTAAGAATCCTGTGGAACTCAGTGACTAACAAACTCAACAAATATCAATTTATTGCCTGGAATGCAAACCATGCCATCAGCATTTCCCAAACTTTTTCATTCAATCTTAGAATATGTTGACTGCACAGTGCCAGTTCCATAAATTCTGACGTTGGGAGCAGTCAAAACGCAATCCCAGTCAGAACCGAGATGTATCACCATTCGACTTCATCCTTCCATTCTAGAGTAATGAAAAATTACGTCGAGCAGAAGAAGCTTATTGATAACCAGTAGAAACGAAATCATAATCCCGTAAATTAACTTTTATTACCGCGTGCGGTATACTAACTGGTACTTAATACGTAAATTGCTAGTGCTGGACGTTTTTTGCTGCTAGCAGCTATAGTGTAGCAAAAGTGAATAACACTAAAATCGTAAAAATCCTAGTCAGGTGTCCATTTTGAATTTTTGGAAATACTTTAATTCTACGCATTTGTCAGTTAAGAAATCCCTTGTGTATTTGAATAATGAGAAAAGTTGTTTTAAAAAGTTACCTCTGCCCAGTTCTATTAGACTTTAAAACAGTAGACGATACTACGTGCTAAAGGCCATCCAATCACTGTATTCTGATAGCAGGTGCTGCGTCAGAGTAAATGACGTTAAGTCCAAACCATTCAACGTTCGCACTAATCTCCGCCAAGGCTGCGTCCGGTCCCATATCCTGTTTGTGTTGTACATGGACAGAATAGTCAGGAGCTGCCAAAGCGACGAGGGTATCGATGTAAGAGATGTGAAGTCGAGAAGGCTGCTGTTTGCAGACGATCTTGTTTTATTAGCATCTTCTGAAACTGATCTTCAGTGCTCACTAGAAAGGTTCACAGCCGACTGTGACGTGACCGACATGCGTGTGAACGCATCTAAAACGAAAAGCCTAGCGTTTTCTCGTTCTCCTGGCCGGTTGCTCTCTTCAGATTAACGGAGAGGCAGTGGAACAGGTGGAGAAGTTCAAGTACCTCAGAACTGTATTTACTAGTGATGGAAAATTGGAGGAAGAGATCGACCGGCGAACTGAAGTAGCCAGTGGCGTTCTGCGTGAACTAGCCCGATCCATTGTGACTAAAGCAGAGCTAAGTCTGCAGCTAAGCTATCGGTG